TAGATACCAAAATCTGTCGATGCTCAAGTCTCTTATGTAAAATGATTTAATATTTGCATATCACCTATGGATATCTTCCTTTATGCTTTAAATAATCTCTAGATCATTTATAATACTTAATACAGTGTAGATTTGATGTAAATAGTTGTTATACTGTATGTTTTACAGAATATAAGAAAAAAAAAGTCTATATATGTTCAGTTTAGAAACAACCAGTTATTTTTTTCGACTATTTTCAATCTGCAGTTGGCTGATTTCTGTGAATATATAACCTATGGATAAGGAGGGAAGTCTGAAATGGGTAATAGTAATTCAAGGTGAATATCAGATAAATATCTAGATACTACAGAGAATTTACCACAAAGATTGTGTAGAAAATAGAGACAAAGGTCATATATTCTTTTATCCTTTTTGTGTGTGTGTTTGTGTGTGAGATTTTGCTATAGGGTGAGTGCACTCAGTAGAGAGACAGAGAGAGGCAGAGATACAGAAAGTGAGAGCTCACTCCCCAAGAGGAATGAAGACGCCACAATCCCTTCCCCTTCATTATTCTCTCAGGATTTTGGGCACACACATACATGCGTCCAGCCTGAGTTTAAGCCTCCAGGTCTGGGGCTTGAACTGTGGCTGACTATGTGGGAGTCCAGTGACATAACCATTACCCCATCCTCTATTCCCAAAAGCCATATATTCTTAACTACTGCCTTAAGGTTTGAGCCTAATGATCTCTTACAAAGTAGTATTTCTGAAGAATAAGAGGACAGCTCTTAAGATGCTTTTTTCATATTACACATGTGACAATTCCCAAACTCTCTCTCCTCCTGCCTGAAAACACACACAAATAGACACAAAACACAAACAAAGACATAAGAAAATTGTTGGACAGATAGGTTTTCAGTGATTCCCCAAGTTACTCTGATTTCAACCATTTTTATCCTCTTAGTTATTGAGCTGCTGTTTTTAAGGAAGGATAAAAGTTCTTGTTTTATAGGCAGTCTGATAAAAATGAACCTCTTTACATGCTGACTGTCAGTTTCTGTTGGACATTTATGTTGAAATTTTCTTGATAATATATTGGAGAAGGTGGGTTTCTTTCTTTCTTTCTTCCTTTCTTTCTTTTCTTTTCTTTCTTTTCTTTTTTTTTTTTTTTTTTTGAGTTTTTTGCTATAGGAGGTGTATGTTCGTCAGAAAGACAGAGACAGACAAAGAGACCGGAAGTGAGAAATCACCCCCCAGGAGGGATGGCCATGCCACAATCCCTTCTCCTCCATTCTCCTCTCAGGATCTTGGGCACGCACGCACACGCACCCAATGTGAGTTTAAGCCACTGGGTCCAGGACTCAAACCACAGTCGACCACATGGGAGTCCAGCGACATAGCCATTACACCAACTGTTGGCCCTAAGGAGAAGGTAAGTTTCTATGAAGATGTATATTTAGAGTTATTTCAGCAGAAAGAGCAGTTAAAACTATGTTACTATATTATACAATTTCTAAATAAAACGTATTTCTCAGTCCTTTTCCTTATTTCCTCCCTTCCCTCTTTACTTCACT